ATATATATATTCAAATATTTATTTATATTTTTTTTTATTTTTTTTAATAAAATATTTTATGAATATATTATTTATTATCATTTTAAAAATGATATATTTTATTTAAAAATTTTTATTAAATTTAATAATTTATTAATTAAAATAAATTAAATTTTTTTTATTATTCAAATATATATTATTTTATTATTAATTATTATAAAAATAAAAATAAAAATTAAAATATTATTAATATTATTTAATATTAATTTATATATATTTTTTAAAAATAAAATAATATATGATAATTAAACTATTAAGAAATTTTTTCATATTTTTTTTAATAAAATTTATATATAATAATTATAATTTATATATTAATATTAATAAAAAACCTTTTTTTATTATTATTATTGAAATTCTAAATAATTTTATATTAAAAACATATATATAATTATAGAACATATTTTAAATTAATAAAAATAATATTAAAATATAAAATTAAAAAAATTAAAAAATTTCTTCAAAAAAATTATTATTAAAATAATAATGCATTTGTAAAAAAATTATTAATGAATATTTTTATGAATAAAAAAAAAATATTTAATGAACTATAAAATTAAAAGATATATAAATATAAAATTTGAGAAAAAAAATATTAATATTATTTAAAGAAATAAATATAATATGAAATAAATTTGATATAATATATATTATTTAACAAAATAAGAAAATATATATTAATATATGTATAAACATATATTATTTTTAATTAAATTTTTATGTATTAAAATATTATTTAAATATAATAATATTAAATATTATAACAAAATAATATCATATATTAATTAAATGATCTGATAATATTTATTTAATAATATTTATCTTAATATAAAAAAAAGAATTAGTAAAATTAAAATAAATATAATTTTAAACATATTCTTTATAAAATAATTTATGTAAATAAAATTGCAATTAATACTATAATATATCTAAATTTAAATAAACTAATAATAATACTATATTAAAAAAAAAAAAATTAACAAATATAAAAATTTACATATAAAATATATTTGTTCCTTTATATTTAGACTATATTATATATTAAAATTATAATTTATTTATAAAAAAATAATTGTAATAATCTAAATTTTAATTTAATTAAATAAAAAATTAAGAATATTAATGCTTTTTAAAAATAATAAAATTTAAATATTAAAATAAATAAAAATTAATAAATATTCAAGTAAATTATTGTTTAAAATAACTAAAAAATAGCAAAATATAATGTTTTCAATAATAATATTTTTTGTATATAAATTAATAATAATTAATTTGATTTTAATAAAATAACATTTTATATATATTTTATAAGAAAATAATTAATATTATATATTTTAAATACTGATAAAAATAATATAAATAGCTAATTTATCAAAAAACATAATATTAATTAGATAAATAATTTTAATATTAAATTTTTAAATTTATAAATATATATTATTAAATAAAAGAATAATTTAATACTTATAATAATCAAATATTATCTAATAATAAAAAACAGATTAAGTAATGTAAAAAAGAAAAAATAATATAAAAAATATTAAATAAATAAATGAAAAAAAAAAAAATATTATATATATTTTATATTTTTTTTTTTTTTACTTTAAATAATTTATAATATAATTTAAAATATTAATTTATTTTAACTTAATAAATATATTGTATAAAAAAAAAAATAAGAATGATATAAATTTAAATTAATACTAAATATAAAAAATTAAAATATATAAATATATATAATGAAATTATAATATATATATATAATATAAATGTTATATATATTTTTATGTTTATATATTTTTTTTATAATTACATATTATAATTAAAAAAATTTTTTTATTTATTTAAGTTATTAATAAAATTATATAGATTTTTTTAAAAAATAAAATTAATATATCTTTTTATTTGTATATATGAAAATATATATTAAACATAAAATATTTTTTTTTTTCTATTGTAATTATATTTAGTAATTTATTTTATTATAATTTTTTTTTTTAAAAATATTATATTATATTATATAATATAATAATTTATTTATTATTTTTTTAATTTTACTTTTTTTTATTTTAAAAAATTTATTATCAATGAGAAACCATTATAAATATGATTTATATAATTAATCATTTAATATATATAAAATGTTTTTAATTTTATTTAAATTTTTTTTTTTTGAAAAAAAAATTATTTTTATATTATTTATTTTAATTTTTTATTTAATAATTAACTCTTTGTTTTTTTTAAAAAAAAAATCATATAAATATAATCATTATTTTTTTACAAAAATAAACATATAGATTTAATTTTTAAATGAAAATAAATATATTAATTATATTCAACTTAATTTCAATATTATATTCTAAAATATAGATATAAAAATGCTTATACGGTGATTTTAATGAATATGATGTGTAATAGTGTGGTTTTGAAATGTAAGGATATTATGGAATTAATTAAATTTATTAATGTGATAAAGTTAATTTTTTAGGAGGATATTCTATATGTGGAAAAAATTGCATTATAACCAATAGTTTTAAATACACTAATCCTTTATATAGTTATACAGTCAAATTTAGATATGTTTTGATAGATTTATGGAATAAAAATGAATTTCTTATTATTTCTATAAATGGAAAAGAGGCATTTCGTGTATAAAAAACTTATTCAAATAGAAATATATGTGGATTACGGTCCGGTGAATTATTTTTAAAAGCGGTTTTTGATTTTAAAACTAATGATTAAAATATTATTATGACAATAACTAATAACTTGGATCAAATGCCTAATAATGAATCTTTAGGTATAAGGGAATTTGTAATTTATGCTAATGAATGTATGGCTGAATGTTTAGAATGCACTGACGATGTTTCTTGTAGTAAATGTAAAGTAGGCAAGTATTTATATGCAGGTAGGTGTATTGATTGTAATGCAAATTGTGAATAATGTACAAAAAAAGATGTTTGTGATTTATGCAAAAGTGAATATTTTTATAATGATTCTTAATGCGTTTTGGAGTGTCCAAATAATAAATATTTAAATATTGCAAATAAAACTTGCAATAATTGTGATTATAAATGTGCAACTTGTTCTAATGCAACCGATTGTAACACTTGCAATTATAATAGATTACTACCTAATTGTGATTGCCCTTAATATTCGTATGATCCTAAAGTTTTCAATTTAGCCTGTACTATGTGTTCTACTTTTTCAGCTGGATGTTCTATATGCAATGCAATAGAATGTCTTACATGTTTAACTCCTTATTATTTTTAATTAAACTCAAATGGATAATGTGACTCATGCTTGACTATAATGACTAAAATGCATATTAGTGATGATCTATTGTTGTTAATTATAGATTTTAATTATTATTATACTAATTTGTAAATTAATCTTATTCTCACAAATTTAGATTTTTAAAGTTATTCTTCCTAATTATAATTTACTAATTAGCTTTGCATTGAAACATTGGATTAAGCCTTTATTTCTTCTAAATTATAAGGAAATATTTTGTGTTCTTTCAACAAATCTTAAAAAACACTTACAGTTTAACTTGATACTACTAGTACTGTTAATAAGAATGATATAATAAAAATAAAACCTGGTGTATTTAAACTAAAAAATAATGGATATGATTGTTCTGATTTTCTTTAATAAATAACTGGAAAAGTAATTTTAGACTCAAATCCAGTTATTGAATTAACTTAAACAAGTCCTATTTCGATATGTTAATAAGCATAAATAAGAATATCTAATGTTTCTAATACTGGAAATAGAAAGTTAAAATAAATTACTTGGACACTCGTTTCTTCTAATGTAAATACGGCAAATGAAATAGCTTAAATAAATACATTTATCTAATAATAAAATAACTAATTATTTTTAGAAATACCACCTTTAAAACTTAAAAAGTAAGGATAATATTAATTCTAGGTATAAGTAGTTACATAGTTTAACCAATCAGAAACTGCAAATGTAATGATACAAACTTTATCAAACACTTCGATAGACATAAATGCAAATATAAATCCTAATCAAATTTTTAGAAGTAGCTTAGTGCATGTAGGTTTAAATTTTAATCTTTTGTAATGTGAAGATGATGGAAAAAAATCTTATCTTTAAGACAATGTTTATGAAGTATAAATAAAATAACATGATAATTTAACTGAATAATTAAATATTGATTCCATATAATAAATTTAAGGAACTTAATTTTAATTTTAAATTTAACCTTTTATTATGAAAGCGAATACAACATATAATATATAAATCATTGTTTCTTTAAAATCTGATCTTAAAATTACTCAATAAATATTATTCCCAGTATAAGTTCTTTCTAGTCCTCCTTTAGTTTAAATTTTAGGGGGAAATAGATAATAATTATTTTCTTAAAGTTTTGATATACAAGCAATAGTAGATGATCCTAATTTATCACCAACTGAAAAAGATATATTAAAAGCAACTAATTATGGAATAAATATAAGCTGGTAATGTATAAACATAAGTGCTGGAGATGATTGTAAAGATTCGTCAAATAATTTAATTGTTTCTCCAATTACATAAAACTTATAAATTAGTATATAAAAGAATGTTTTATAGCCTTATTAATAATACTAATTTAAAATATCAGGAACAAAAGATGGACTAACCGAGTTTGATTAGATAACAATATTAATGGTTGATTATTCCATTCCACCTGTTAATCCTACTATTTCTATTAATAATATTTAAAATACAATAAATTTAAACTAAGAAATATTTACTTAATTTGATTGTCAAGAAGATACAAATGTTGATGACTTAATAATTACAGGAGTTATTATATATTAGAATTAATAAGTAAATATAATATCAATAAATTACAATTAATTTAGATTTAAAATTTGGGAATATTTCTTCGACTTTTAAAATTAAAATTAATTTGAACTAAAATTTTCAGTTAGAAATCCCAATTTTATAACACCAACATTAATTTCTTATTCTTTAAATGCTAATATTCCTCCATAAGATTGTATTTTTGATAAAACTACAGGCTTTGAAGTTAGAAATATGTAAGATAAATAACTTTTTGCAATAAATGAATGTATTGATACTGATTAACCTTTAACTTATTCTTTCTATTTTTATAAAAACTAAGATGATTATAATAATGAATTATTAAATGCATAATATGTTAATAGGCAATTGATATCTGATTTCTCACTAAATAATAAAATTGAAACTGTTTTACCTTTTGGTGCGTCTTTATTTATGGCAGTAATATAAGATTCGAAAGGAGGAATAAGAAATATAACTTAATAAATCATAGTAAGTCAATATAGTTAAGATAGTTCTTCATATTATACATTTATAAATAATTGGTTTACTTAAACATAATAAAATATATTAAATAAAAATAAAATAATTTAATATAATATGATTATTTATGATATTATTAATCATGCTAGTGTTTTATCATTGCAAACTGAATAGTTTATATAATTATATATTGATATTTTAAATGAAATTATGAATTTGTAAAACTATTTTTAATAATAAACTGACTCTTTTGACTATTTTGTATAGACATAAATAACATTAAATTTAATATTTAGTAACTTTCTCAATTAAATGTTAACATAAATAGGATTTGATAAAATAGAACAATTTATTAATAATATTGCATAAATAATAAATTATTTATTAAGAGTAATTAAAGATATAGTAATTTCTGACACGACATAATATGAAAAATCTTTTTAATCAGTATAAATTTTTATATTATAAGCAAAAATAATTTAAAATATTTATTAAGTTGATAGATAATCATTTTAACATAAATAAAACTCATTATTAGATAAATAATACATGCAAATAATGAGAACGATATCTTAAGCATTGCATGTGTTTTTGATTTCAAATGATGATCCTATAAATGTTCTAAATATAATTTCTACTTAAAAAACAACCTATAAAGTTTTAAAAGAAAAATATTTGAAATTAAATTCAAACTCATATTATGAAAGTATAAATATAGAAAAAAACTAAGAAAATCTATAATATTATGTAAATTATTTAGAATATCCTTCTTCTGTAATAACTTATGATGATAATTTCCCTTACCCAAACAATCATACTTTTACCATAAATGAAAAGACAATAACTTTTGAATATAATTAATAATAAATACAATTTGATATTCCTTTATTCAACATTTACAATTTATCTGAAGCTATAGACAATGTTGGGAATTATATTTGCATTTAAAATATTTAAGGCAAATGGATTTCTAAAGATTGCGTACTTTTATATTATACTAATGACTAAAATCGAATATAATAATTTATATGTTAATGCAAAACTCAAGGAAAATAAACTCTTGTTAATGACATAAATGAAATATTTAAAGTGACTCGCATAAATGATTGGTATTTTTATGCTTCTGTATGGACTTTAGTTGCTACTACTATAATTTATCTGATGTTATTTTTATATTTATAAAAAATCGATAATAATCAAGAATAAAAAATGTAATAAAGCACAATAAAAAGAAATTAAATCACAGAAATTATTTTTAATAAGGATATTAATGATTAAGAACGAAATTAATAATTAGATAATATTTTAAAAAACCATGAATAAATTATTTAAATACAAAACTAAAATTTTATAGAAACTCCCAATCTAAAAATAAGTATTTTTTAAAACAAATATTATTTATATTAATAAAATATTTTTATTTTTTTAATTTATTAAATAAGTTATATCAATAAATCTATAATTTTTTTTATTATTTCTATATGTTTTTTTTTATATTTTTAATTTAATTTTTAAAGATTATTTATCTGGATTTTAAAAAAATAAAGATTTTTGCTAGAGTAATAAGTCATATAATGTTAAGATATTGCAATAAAAAAAAATGAACATAATACATAATCAATCAATAAAATAGGCTCTTTGATCTCATCATAGTTATAAACTGAAATATTATAAGGGAAAATATAAAAAATAATGCCATTAATTATTTAATCTAATACAATAGAAAATAAAAGTAGGCTGGTTGATGAAAAGTAATAAAAAGCAGATGATTAATTGATAACAGAAGATAAGATAAAAAAAATAATTACACATAAGATTAGTAAATTAAATTCTTAAATATATACTACAGTTGGTTAATAATAAAATAACTAAGAAAATGGTATATAATCTCCAAACTATTAGGATAAAATTTAAGATCTCGAAAATAATCAGGCTAAACCTTAAAAAAATACTTTAGTTAAGAGAAAAAAGCATTAAGCTAGTTTAATTCGATTGTAAAGTTAATAAAGCTAATAAATAAATAAAAACGTGAAAAATGACTATAAATATGAAGAAAAAACAAATTATAGTGGTAATTAAGTTTAAAAAGGTACAAATATAATTAGTTAATCCTAATAATAATAGCGATAAAAAGTTTAATCTAATTTATTTACTAAAAATAGCTCTATATTACAAATAAATAATAAAATGTCTTTTTATAATTAGAATGTTTTGTAAAACTTTTTAAAAGAAAGTAGAATTGTTTAAGTTATAATTTTTCATGAATTAATTTAAATATTGATTCTTTTTAATTAATTCTTAAGTAGGCCTTATAGAATAACTTAATAATATGTAAAATATATTATTCTTATTACTGTTAATTCTATTCTGTTTTATGATTTAAAAACTGTCTTAATAATATTAGCTAATTCTTTATTATTACTAAGTATTAACTTATTTATTATTTTAGTAGAAAGTATCTATAAATTGAATAAAAGAATATTTAAATATTTAATTTATCTCATTTTTATTTTTATAGTTATAATTTGCTTTTACATTATTTGTATTAGTATTTAAAATAAATTTTATAATAAAT